TCGTATTGTGAAATTTCCCGTGACGCAACGCCTGATCCTGGTATCAAAGTTGTATAAAGGAGTGAGCCGAACGAGTTTTGAAACATCAACTTGTCGTGTAAATCGGCCGTGATGAATCCGCAACAAAACCCTTCTCGATCCTGAATAGAAGTGTGAGCTGCGAGCAAACGGGTCACAAGTAAGCCAACGTTTTGTCCCTTATAGTACCTTCCTCTCAAATCGCAGCCAGTCGGTTTCTAGGAAAATAAAAGATTGAAAAAAATTAAAATTTTGGATAACGAATACCATAAATTGGCACCACAACTCAACCTCGAAAGAACGAATATGATAAGCAAAATAAATATTAAGGAAAAAAGACAGCCAGAGAAGTCAGTGATAAAAAAAACAACATATGGCGAAGAGCGCCTGTCGCTGCTATCGATCAGGCACATCCACAACAAAGGTAAACAACTCTATATTGCACTTTACTCACAAGTTATGTCTGGCTGTTGAAACAGGCCAGAGCGCTAGCACGAAAGACCGCAATCAATGTGCGCTTTCTTTGAAGGGCAAAAAAGTATACACGCATTTCAAGCGTTGAGTCCAATGCCCTTTTAGGAGCGCCACAACATTCTACTTTTCCATTCGAATTTATGCGGCACTATTGAATGCGACTTATCAACACCAGAACCTGCTGCGGGACAGCCTAACGTAAAAAAGTCAGTTGGATTTTTAACGTCCGTGGAGAGAAAGGATGAAAAACCAACTGCCACTCCAAATCCTGTATAAACACCCACCGAGAACGATTTCGACCATCCTTTATGAAAGCTGACTGAGAATCGAGGAAGAGGTGGAGGGTGTGGGAGAGTGCAGAACTAAGGTTAGGGAACCAGAGGTTTAATTAAGTGTTAAAGTTTCACTACCAAAGTGATTGCATTACTGCGATAAGGCCCTCTACGAACGGCCTCAGGACTTCTATCAACCGTGAGTCTAGGAATTTCAGCGTTTTGTAGCGCTGTCTGTCAACCTCACACATACACACTATCCTTCTATTTTATAAAGCGCTAACTTTGTGTGTCGGTTTGTGTATCTGTATGTGTGTGTGTGTGTGTGTGTATGTATGTGTGTCCGTCCGCAAAATGAAGTGAGTGAGAAGGAAGCTCATGGGATAAACAAACCGCTAACAAATCGGGTAGCTTACAGGATTTGAGATATCAATGTTTTGTAGCAGGATAGTTGTGATAACACTCTTAGGGCTATATAAACACCTGCTTAGCACACTTCCGTTCATTCCACATGGTGCTGCAGTGGCAGCTGGAGGGCAGTGGAGAGAGGAAGGGAGGATGAGGAAGGGAAGCGAAAAATCTACCGTCATATCATGATTGTGTCCCTTCTACTGTATGAAACACCATTGTGTTGCATACGCGTCACTTCCACGAGGTGTTGGTGTCACAGGAGGAAGGGACCATAGCGGAGGATAGAAAGCTTGCGCAGGAAAGGAAGGTCCCGGCGGTTGACGGGGGACTAATCTGGTATTAATAAAGCGCTAACTTTGTGTGTCGGTTTGTGTATCTGTATGTGTGTGTGTGTGTGTGTATGTATGTGTGTCCGTCCGCAAAATGAAGTGAGTGAGAAGGAAGCTCATGGGATAAACAAACCGCTAACAAATCGGGTAGCTTACAGGATTTGAGATATCAATGTTTTGTAGCAGGATAGTTGTGATAACACTCTTAGGGCTATATAAACACCTGCTTAGCACACTTCCGTTCATTCCACATGGTGCTGCAGTGGCAGCTGGAGGGCAGTGGAGAGAGGAAGGGAGGATGAGGAAGGGAAGCGAAAAATCTACCGTCATATCATGATTGTGTCCCTTCTACTGTTTGAAACACCATTGTGTTGCATACGCGTCACTTCCACGAGGTGTTGGTGTCACAGGAGGAAGGGACCATAGCGGAGGATAGAAAGCTTGCGCAGGAAAGGAAGGTCCCGGCGGTTGACGGGGGACTAATCTGGTATATATATATATTCTTATTCAGTGAGCCTTAATAACCACACAACTAAATTTGAATTCCATTCCACCCTTCCACCCTTTGGTTGAACAGAACTTTTTGGACCCATCCAAACGACACGAACTATCGCCTGCGTGCTACACGTGCGCGAGCGGCTTGTACCGTCACACGTGTGGAATGGCGCATCCCAGAGCGACGTTGTACCTGTCGGTGGGACAAACAGGAGTTTCGAAATGATAATGCGGATAAAAATATGCATAGTCGATATGAGGGGGAAGCGGTTGCAAAAGTAAGGGAGGATCTCATCAAACGGAAGAGATTGGCATGTGAGGGCAACTGTCGAGGTCGCTGCAGACCCATCTGCACTTCAGATATGGCCAAAGGTGTTGCCGGCAGTTATTTCTGGGCTGCAGCAAAATCTGCGAGGCTCAGGACAATGACGCAATGAGCCGCGTTAATCTTCGCAGGATAATTTTTATCTGTCCCTGCTTACTAATCATTGCTTTGTACAATGGTAATTGGCTATCGGGCATACTTTGGAGAGCCCTCATGGCCTTAAGCAGCCATTCAAAACAGAGCATTTAAAAAAACCCCTAACCATTACTCCATTACTAAGCTCAACAGAGGGGAGAAACGACGGTACACAAAAGTTGTTCGTTCCTCTGCCAGAATCCTTGGTCCTCCGTGAGGCTTGATTCTAAGTAACTAAGTGGCTCACTCAGTTCGGTGCCCCCCTTACGGCATAGGCTCCTGCCTTTTCTCCCCTTTTTGAGGGGAGAAAACACTGAGCAACACATTGACTAACCTCCGTGTTTGCTGCATACTGCCCCTGCTGTCGTCGTGTGGGAACATTGTCGTGGAGACCGAACTGGGAGAAGGGGAGGCTATTGGCGGGAAATTGAAATCGCTTGCACACCTTCTTGATCCCCCTAAGGCTTAGGCGAAAGTAGAGGGAACGGGAGACGTGTTGGCACTGTATTGTTCTTCCTCTATGGCTCGCGATGAAGACACAAAACACATCATAAAATCCTCAAGTCGGCGCTCATGTCCGGGAGGTGGGGGAACATTCAAAAAAGGGCCATTTTAGGTGAGACTAGGACTGAGCCCAGCAAAGGGGAGAATTGCCAGGGAGAACACAAATTGTTCACATGTTTCTCCAGGACCCCTTCCCCTCCCTAGGGCTTACTGAAGCACAAAAATTGGCTCATACTTGTATGTTCGCCTCCCCCCGCCCCACCCAAAGAACACGAACCACCTCTTAACCCTTTGACTACTGGTGGGACACATGTGTCCCCACTTCGTAGTCAAAGACACTACCACAGTTCCAGGGAATATTGAGGCAGGAGGGCTCATTTGATGGCTGAACTGTGCACATATAGAAGCTTTCTAATTCCTACTATGACAATTAGTCGTCAGAAGCTAAAGCGAGTCATCCTGCGTAAGTTAATCTTTGACTACTGGTGGTACACATGTGTCCCACTTCGTAGTCAAAGACACTACCACAGTTTTGGCACTTATTGAGATCGGAGGGCCCGCTTTATGGCGGAATTGTGCACAACTAGAAACTTGGTAATTCTTACTCTGTCAGCGAAGTATCAGAAGTCTAAGCGAGTTACGCTGGATAAGTTGATAAGCAAGTCGTTCCACAGGTCACTGGGCAGTGTGCACAGCTCCCGAAAAGGTAGTTTTCGAGTCTCACACTCTTTGTATTGTGTTAATGGTTCTAATATTTCCCTCAATTATTGTGAAACAGGTGAAACATAAGCAAACCGATGACGGATGGAGGTTTTTATCGGCCGCAAGCCAGCTAGAGGACGACAGCGTTTTACGACTGCGTTGGAAATTCCAACCTCCGGAGTTTTGTCAGTTCGTTTGATGCGGAAGTGGTAGTAGAACACTCCTATGATGACGCAGCTTTCGAGCATAAAAACCAGCGAAAATTCGTTAGAGGAGAAGCAGCCGGTGGGCGCAGCCTGTAGGCAGGGGAGCAGCACTTCTACAAAGTGCGGCTTGCAATTCTTTTCAAGTGCGTTCCCAACCGGACATTGCCTTGTTCCACGAATGAGATGTGATGAAATGTGTATTTTGTTGAATGGTATTTGAACTGTTCGAAAATGCTCATTCGAGCGGAGATGGTGTGGTGACAGGAGGGGCCACTGCCGCGCATATGGTCTCTGGATCGAATCCCAGCTCAAACCCAGCGCGCGTCAGCCAAATTTCTACAGATGATTAGTTGTTGCTAGGAGCGACTGTTACTACACAAAACACATCGATAACTTGTTTCTAAAAAAGTCGTAGTCTAAGGGTTAAGAAGAAAGAAAGCAGTAGTATATAAAATAATTATACAAGTAATGTGCGCCTAAGGACCACTGTAAGTAATTCAAGCCTAAGGACCACTGGGTCCTATCGCGTGAGTGAGGACGCTGTCCTGTGAAGGGGGACAATCTCCAAAGATGCAGTGACCTTATTGTCGGCTGGGAAAGCGCTCGCTTCTGTTTAATGCAGGACGAAGGCCAAAGGTAGTAAAGGTCGGATCGATGTTTAAATGCAGTCGCGGAACTTCATGGTGCCCAGAGCAGCTAGTGGGAACGACCCAAGAGCTTGAAGAAGTAAGAAGAAAGAAGAAGGAAAAAAAGAAGGCAATCAAGAATATATACTGAGGTCATGCCTTGTTTCAATGAATTCTATTTGAAGGGTTAGAAGTAGACTTTTGCAGGAATGATCGTCGTTGTTATGAATGCATGAGATCTGAGAGATCCGCCTTCTCTCTCCCATTATCAGTACTGATAGCTTTCTGCATTTAAAACCGCTGTTCAGTGGGTGGGAATCATTTCATATAGACGATAACATTAACCTAAGAAGATAAGATAAGCCCAGCCACGTTGTCTGGTGTAACACAAACGTTCTTCGATGCTGTGTTTTCCAGGTTCCCTTCTCTTTCTGTTAACGCTTCCTGTTAACGCTACTTGTTTACTAACACAGTTCTACTATACTAAGCACTTAATTGTCACAATGGGCAAGGTCGGAAGACGGAAGAAATCTACGGTCGCATGTAGGTTGCTCAAGAGATGGCTGACTCCATGAGCTGGCTACCAGGCCCACTTTTCAGTGACTATGAGCACGTTTGAGGATGATGGAACGCAAGTGGAAAGACGTAGTACGGTGAGAAAACGTACCCGGAGAAGACCTGAAGAGACTCAACAGTTTCGGAACGCATTCAGAGAATTCTGCCTTAACGTGAACACCGTGGGTGTAACATTAACTATCGTATAATGTATGCTATACGAAGTTATTAGCCCCATGAGGCACGACTAGGGAGGGCTCAACGCGCTCATCATCGGTGGAGGGAGGAGGCGGTGGAGGAAAGACTAGAGCGAGGGAGCCACTTACAGCATTCGAGACTGAGGACTCCTGGAGAAGGATGTAACAACTTTTGTGCGCCGTTGGTGTTTCTCCACTCTCCTGGTCATACCGACCGTCACCCTATCATCGGCGCTATTTGGATTCCGCCCAAGGGGGGGGGGGGTGGACAATGAGCCGCCAAACAATCTTCAAAAGTTGGCATGCTGCGTGTTTCCGTGTCCCACTTTTGCACATCAGTGTGTTGATTTTACGCGTTGTCTGCTAGGTTCTCCCTTTCATTTCATGCATGTTGCTCACATTGATGGGTGGTGCTTTGGTGAAAACGGCTCGAGGTGTTCGGAGCTCAAGACCGCACATGCTATTAAGGCTTGGACGAGAAGGCAAAAGAAAAAGGAATATGTTTGATTAGGCGATTAGACGCATTTACACGATTATGGAGTGTTCAGAGTTGGCGATCGTACGTGCGATTAGGCGATTAGTCTATAATGAAAAATATACGTATAGATTAGGCGATTAGGCGGGGAAGACTACATACGTATTGATTGGTTTGCTCCGCCCATAGAACGTTGTAGGCGAGTAGGCGATAGGCGATTAGGCGATCGCTCAATGGGCGGAGCAACAAATCAATACGTATCCTTCTCTTATCGCCTACTCGCCTACTCGCCTAATCGCCTAATCGCCTACTCGCCTAATCGCCTAATCGATACGTATACTTTTCTTTTTGAATCATCGCCTAATCGCCTAATCGCACGTACGATCGCCAACTATGAACGCTTCCATTAGGCAATTAGGCGATTAGGCGATTAGGCGAGTGGGCGATAAGAACGGGGTACGTGTCCATTCGTTCGCTCCACCCACCAAGCGATCGCTAATCGCCTGCTCTCATACTCGTCTAATCGCCTACTAGATATTTCCTTATAGACCAATCGCCTAATCGCATGAACGATTGCCAACTTTGAACGCTGCCTCAGCCTATTAAGCGACCGCTTGATTAACGCCACTGGGCGGAGTGAACCATATCAATATCTATACTCCCTTTCGAAAAACGAGAAGAGAATCGGGTGCAGACCATACATCACAAGTGAACAGTATACCGTATTGCTCTCGACATTGGGTCGTTGGCTATAAGACTGTTATAGAAAGACCCATCTCAACGAGGGTCTCACTTGATACGATTCAGATTGGAGTCCAAGGATTAGTCACGCAGTTCGCAGCAATCAGAGCAGAAACGCAGTCTTTTCAAGGCAAAGCAAAGGCTGCTTTTGATGCCAATCCCACGAAGAATCGGTATAAAGGTAATCTATAGTATGACTTTTCGGATCAACCAGAAACTGTTGTACCAAAGGCACAGTGAGCACGATGGCATGGCTAGAAACGGAACGTTTCGACGACATTACAATGCGTCTTCGGTGGGCGATGGAGGAGGTGATTCTCAACCGTTCCCCCTCCCCTCAACGCGCTGAGGCATCTCGTCCACCAAACTCCAATAAGGTTATCGAAAGCTCCGCCTTCCAACCATCGTTTTCCCTGCCTTAAAGCAACAGTCCCAGCAGGGTGGGCGTGGTCGGAAACGGCTGCAATCCCCTCGGCCGATTCCCACTTCGGAGCTGTTCAGCCCCTAGTCAAGAACGTAAGAAGTGTGACTGAACAAAAACTCACCTTGGAAAGCCGCTAGGCAGGGAGCTGAAGTGGGCGTGGTCGGAATCGGCCGAGGGGATTGCAGTCGTTTCCGACCACGCCCACCCTGCTGGGACTGTTGCTCAGACAAGTATATGCTTGAATCCGAAATTGCTGGAGATAGCATGAGGAGCATCGATTACAATAATTTGATGCTGATCAAATGTGAAATCAGAGAATCGTGATGAAGAAAACGGACTGTATTAAAGGAGGAATTCACGATTAGAATGAAGGTCGAAGAAAGGGAAACTGACCTAGTTGAGGGACCCACGGACCTCCTGAGGGTGCGAACTGACGCGCAATTCGCATGGAAAAATTTGACCTCGGCGACCTATCATGCCTCAAAGCTGGCGGGTCCGGCGATCTCCGCCCACCGATCATCTGATCACTCGCCGTAGTTCAATACGTGGCGAGTGATTAGATAGCTGAGAGAGCGTAGTGTTGAAGAGGGCACAGCGATGAGAGTCGCATCAATGCTCAAATCAACGGGCAAGGAAGGGGTACCATTTCTCGGGTTCTGGGCCGTTTCTCATGGTTCTTCCTTCTTTCGTGTACCACTCACCATCCCTAGGTTAGCATCGATTACAATAATTTGATGCTGATCAAATGTGAAATCAGAGAATCGTGATGAAGAAAACGGACTGTATTAAAGTGCCCTAGACTGGCAATCAAATGTGGTGATTTCACCCATTGACGAGGAACAAGGAACGTGGAAACATGGACGACCCTCGTTGAAACCGCCAGCCTCGCCACACTACCTGCAAAACTTGCGCCACTCTCGGACTTGAACCCTGGATGACAGGACTCAAAGCTGGGTTTTTGCCAGTGCACTAGGGATCATTCAATCACACCATCATTGGTGTTGGATCGGTCACTGGATCAATACTTTGAAATGTATGAAGTTTTGCAACCTTTGTGGGCCATTCCCTTTTCTCTACAACCCTTTCACCGTCGATAAGAAGGGCTCCTTAGTGCAGTGGTAGCGATGCCGCTCATGGGACGGTGCACCGAAGGTTCAAACCCGTGTGTGACGCAAGCTTTGCAGGCAACGTGGTGGATGCTCACCACTTCCACCATGGCAAATTCCAATGGCTCAATGGGAACGTTCCACGCTGCCGCTGGCAAGGTTGCTGGATCAACACCGCTTGCAGTCTAAGATTTGCAAACAACATCCGTTGCTTACCTGTTGTCAAGATCTTCCGATGCTGTGATCGAGTGCACTGGCAAAAACCCGGCTATGAGTCCTGTCATCCAGGGTTCAAGTCCGAGAGTGGCGCAAGTTTTGCAGGTAGTGTGGCGAGGCTGGCGGTTTCAAGAAGGGTCATGTCCATGTTTCCACGCTCCTTGTTTACCTCGTTCAATGGGGAATGTTCACCACATTTGATTGCTAGTCAAGGGTACTCTACTACCGTCCCAGAGCTTTGATTGGATTATACCATCATTTTCGCCTATCCCTTCAGATGTGGTTTGCACGGACACATCCCGTGTGGTACTCACTTGGCCCAACCCTGCAGCAGGTGACTACATTCACGCAAATTGGATCACAGAAC